GCACAACTTAAGAACAAATCTGTGCGTACAAATGGTTCTTGCATGAGGCCCAATGCTTGCAAAAAACATAATTGCCCACTTTTTGGTGGCAAGTGATAACAAAACACACTAAAGGAAAACAAGGATTAAACTGTCTAGTTTTGTCAGTATATGATATTCCTGGCAGGAGTTCCCCATGCTGCTCTATAAGAACTACAGGCAGCTGTTACTGCTTGCGTACTTCATAAATAATTGTAATGCTTGTCAATTTGGTCAGAATTCAACTTGAAGTCATTCAAAGAGCTTTCTACAACAGTTAAACTATTATTTGTCCTTAACGTTTCTTCAGAACCTGACGTTTAATGAGGTCTTGCTGTTGTGTAAAAGGACTGGGGTCTCTTTCAGAGAACGTTTGTCTCCTAACTCTCCCCTGGTTATCCTGCAGGATGCAGAGAAGCGCACCCCCCTGCATGCAGCAGCCTTCCTGGGTGATGCAGAGATCACAGAAATCCTCATCCTCTCTGGTAAGACTCATGCTTTTCCTCAACAGGGGCTTYATGTACAAAGACTTGCGTGGATTTCTGACTGAAACCTGACGTACGGTCAAATCCAGAAAACTGCGTACGCACAAAATAATCCAGATGTATCAAACTGTGCGTACGCCTGAATCCACGCACATTTCTTTTGTACATCACAATTAACATGGAACTGAGCGCACATGAGACACCTCCCCTGACACGCCTTCATTTACATATGTTAAACAGATGCAAATTACTTCCTGCATGTGTGAAGGACATGTTTGTTTGATCCCTGCGCGATCAGAAATGATTTCTAGATTCAGGAAAATAATGACTTTAATATAATGTGAGTGAGAAAAAAATCCTAAGTAAGAACAGGAATAAAATATGTTTATCACGCAAAGAACAAGAGATTGTGTGTCGGTGTGTGTGTTTGTGAAGCTGCTGTGTTGYGCAACCGGCTCATCCATCCATTCTGAGCCTGGAAATATTAACTTTTCACAGGAGTTTATTACCATAATTACTATAAACACAGAGGAACTTAAATGTTTGGTAGGAACATAGATCTTTGTTTATTTCATAGCTGATATGAAGAAACGATTCTCTGCGCCTCAGTGGAGAGTTTTCATAACATGACATGATGTTGCAGAGTTAGAATCATATGGATGAGACCGTTCCTTTGGACATCACTCAGTTTTGGGTGGACTGGACTGACACAGTCCCGATCGGTCTGCCAGCTCCCTCTGGAAAGCTCCCATGGAACCCCAGTTTGATCGCTGCTTCTGCACGTGCAGTGCACGGCTCCTCGCTGCGTCGCGTTCCAGAGTACAGCAGTGCCAAACTGAAAAAGGATTATTCCTGAAAACGGCTGATGAGCCACTCGTCACTGTGGACCAGAGAATTCTATCTGTTTATAAATAAAAGCTCAGCGTGTTACACTATTTATTATATCCTCCAGTWAGGCTGAATCTGTTCCTGTTAAATGTATTTTTGGCACAACTTTGCGCGTCCTTTATCTAAATGCGTCCATGTGGATGTAATAATTGTTAATCATGTGTGTCTGGTGTGAACAATAACATTTTTCACATCATGAACAGTTTCCCAGAATCACCTCTAAGAGTCACCAACAGAACCAGAACCACAGAAATGTGCGTACACCAGCCCTGGAG